GTATATATACACACACACAGAGTAATAGGAAACAATACATTGTATTGTGTTGTAGTAAATTAAGAACAAGGCTCCAGAGTCAAAAACTTGAGTTTAAATCACTGTTTAGTCACATGTAAAAGCTGTGACTCCGGGCAAGTATCTCAACTTCATGCTCTAGTGCCTCGGGGTCATCACTTGCAAAATGGAGGTACAGTATTTACCTCACAGAACTTGAAATACAAAACTTTAACAATGTGTTCAAATGTTAATGGTAGCAATAATAGTAATGTAACCTATTTGTGTTTAATCAATCCGGTATTTAAGAAAGGAGGGAAGGGCTAGGCTCTTTAAAATGTCTCATTTAATCCTTTCAACTACAGAAAGAAACAAGTATAATTCTCCCTATCACACCAACAAGGAAAAGGGAGGTTCATTTGCCTAGATTACTCAGTTAATAAGTGGCAGAGCTGAGATGTGAACACTGGTCTATGTGGACACAAAAATGTTTTCTTTCCACTACACAATGCTACCTCCACAGCACTACATAGTAGCAGGAGCACAAAACTAGGCGTTTTGTTCTTTACTACTAAACTCAACAAAATCTGGGCACATCATTAAGTCCATCTGTCTCTCAATTTTATTTTCTGAAAAATTAAGGGGTTTGATTAGATTTTGAGGTTTCCCCTAAACTAAAAATAATCCATGATTTTATTAAATCACCACATTCAGTGATGTGTAAACTCAGAAAAAGTTTTAAAATACAGCAGAAAACCTCTTCTGTTTAAAAAAACAAAAAAAACATCGAAAGAAGATAGCTTAATTCTTTTCCAGGACTGCACATTATGAAAAAGAAATCAATGTAAAAGGGAAGACCAACATCTAATTTTATTATTAGCATGCATGACTAAGCAAATGTTTGGGAGAACAAAAACATCAAGTATTTCAAGATGACAATTTTAACACCTGTATTTTCAATAAATTATGAAAAAAACTCAGAATCTTGATATACCTACAGACCTTATAATCAAATAAAATACAGATTTACCAACTTTTATTTCATGTTGAAACTGCAACCAGGTTGACTTTTTTTTTTTTCTTAATGTCCGTATGAAAACTTTCCTCCCCTAAAACCCTTCACTGGCTTCCCACTACCCTTCAATGACATCCCAAATCCTTAAAATGACTCAAGAGTCTCGTGCGATCTGGCTCCTCTCTCTGGAGCTATCCACTGGCTCTTTTTTCAGTTTCTTTCAATTCCTCCAAGACACCTCTTTTTCCCTTTATTTTAGGGCCTTCATACCATCTGTCCTCTAAAACCTTGCTGTCACAGCTCTCCATTCCCATCCTTTTGCCCCAGCAAACTGCTCTTCATCCATCCCGGTTGAGATGAAATATTATCATGCCAGGAAAGCCTTTCTTGACCTCCCAGACATATACTTTGACAGCATTCTGGATTTATAACACTCACTAGTCTTATGGTTACTTGTTCACCATCGGTCTTCCGTGCTAAGCGGTAAACAATATGAAGATGGTCATTTCATGTCATGTTTCCTACTATTTCCCCAATATCTAACACACTGCTTAGCACAGAGTAGATTAAGTGCTCAATAAATATGTGCTGAATTAATACATTTAAACTACGAGGCAAGTCCAAAACCATCAGATACTTTACTAGCACAAATAGCTAAAAAAGTTCTATACACGTTTCGAGTTCTGTCTTATCCTTTGTGCTTCATATGGTCCTGCCTCAAATAGGTGCTATATGGCAATTACGAAGTAAAGCAAAAAAATCTCTTTAGATAACAAATACATCTTCAAGTTTCACAAAACCAAGGTGAGAAACCATAGATCTTAAATAACTGTAATCAGCGTTAAAAGTCATCTAAAAGAATGCACCTGAGGGGCTTCCCTGGTGGCGCAGTGATTGAGAGTCTGCCTGCTAATGCAGGGGACACAGGTTCGAGCCCTGGTCTGGGAGGATCCCACATGCCGTGGAGCAACTGGGCCCGTGAGCCACAACTACTGAGCCTGCGTGTTCGGAGCCTGTGCTCCACAACAAAAGAGGCCACGATAGTGAGAGGCCCAAGCACTGTGATGAATAGTGGCCCCCACTTGCCGCAACTAGAAAAAGCCCTTGCACAGAAACGAAGACCCAACACAGCAAAAATAAATAAATTAACGTCAGATGCAGGCTTGTTAAAAAAAAAAAAAAAAAGTATTCACCTGAAATGCAATTAAAGGGACAGGAACTTGGATAAGGGCTCATTTTTACCACAGTAGTGTACATTATAAAAGGACCAATCCTAGCTCCTATCACTGTCTAGGTTCTACAAGTAGTGCTTTATTCCAGCAGTAATGACTGCACTGCTACAGTCATCTGAGTAGGCTATATGATACCCGAAGATGCTTTATTAAAACTCAAGAAAAATTACAAGCAAAGTAGCTATAATCTTCAATTAGTGAAAAAAAAAAGGAAATGGTAATAAAGCTGATAAGTAATTTGAGAATTGAATGCTTAAAAAAGGGAATGCTAATTTTTTTTTTTTTTTTTTTTTTTTTGCGGTACGCGGGCCTCTCACTGTTGTGGCCTCTCCCACTGCGGAGCACAGGCTCCAGACGCGCAGGCTCAGCGGCCATGGCTCATGGGCCCAGCCGCTCCACGGCATGTGGGATCTTCCCGGACCGGGGCACGACCCCGTGTCACCTGCATCGGCAGGCATACTCTCAACCACTGCGCCACCAGGGAAGCCCCGGGAATGCTATTTTAACTCAAAACATTCTTCTAAGTTTTCTGTTCACCGAACACTTATTGAGTGCTAATTACAAACCAGGCAGTGTTCAAAGATTTTCTTAACACATACTCATTATTTTCCCCATTTTAGACATGAGGAAGGAGGCACTGAGCTAAGTAACTTACCTAGTATCATACAGCTGGTTAAGTGGCAGAGGCAGAATTCAAAGGCAGCCATTCTGGCTCCAGGGTTCTCCCTCTCAACCACTATTACTACACTCCTGCCTACTCCCTCTCTCCAATCCACTTAAACAAGGCTTCTATCCATACCACCCTACTCCAGTGAAACTTTTCACTTAGTTCACCAATGACTTCTACCTTGACAAACCTAAGGGCCACTAATCTGCCTCCACCTTTTTCATCCATTATGCAGTATCACATCAAGTTGACAACCCTCCTCTTTTGTCATACGTTTGTTTCATTAGTGACATGTATCCCAATTTTCTTCCTACCTCAGACCTGGACTCTCTTCGCTTCCCTATCTACACATTCTTCCTCAGAAACTTCCCAGTCTCACGGCTTTAAACACTATCTGCATGACTCCAAATATTTCTAGTCCTGGCCTGAGTTCTAGACTCATAACCAACTACTTATTTGACATCTCACTTAGGTATATAATACCTTACACTTAATGATAAAAACCAACCAACCTACTCTTCTCCCCTCAACCTGTTCTCTCCAACACGGATTCAGTTGCTTAGGCTAACTTCTTAGTTATCACCCTTGACTTCCCTTTCCCTTATCTCTCACACCCAATCGATCAGCAAGTTCTACCAGATCTATTCATTAAACATATTTAGTTCTGTCTCCACTATCACTCTAATGCAAACTATCTACAGCTCTGCCTACAACGTCCTTCAGAATGGTCTCCTTACTTCTCTTCTTGACCCCTTAACCTCCACAAAGCAGGCAGAGTTAAAACAAAATCAAATCAATCCCTGCCTGCTTTAAATCATCTAATGTCTTCCCATTATAGTTTAAATTAAATCCTAGCTCTTGACCACAGCCTAGAAGATCCTACATGATTTGGCCCCTGCATACTTCTCAAACTTCACAACCTTCCATCCTCTCCCCCATCACAAGGTTCCCTGCAGCCACAACTGCCTGCTTTCTCCTCCCAGATCACACCGTGATCATTTCCACTACAGAGGCTTTGCACTCGCTGTTCCTTCTGTAAGGAGCATTCTCTCTCCAGACTTTTACACAGTTACTTCTGTTCCTTAGGTGTTGCTCAAATGTCACCTCCTCTGAGAGACCTTCTAATCACTCTTTTACATGATTCTCTACTGTTACAATCATCATTACTCTTATTACCTGAAATTACCTTATTTACTTGTTTATTATGTCTTACTGATTTTGGAATTTAAAAACTTTAGCCCTGACCCTCCCACAGTACATAGAAGGAGCCTAATAAATTTATTAAATGAATGGATATTCCCCATTGTATTTTAAGCTGTTTATTGTAAATCAACCAATTTTGATAAAACACTTGGCCCATATTTTGCGTGTATTAAAAGATAAATCCTTAAAACACTCAATTTTTCCAATCTAATGCATTTCAGCACTCTGAACCCCCTCAAACACACACATGCACAGAGTCCACCTATAGAAACCTACTTAAAACTGCTAAATAGTCCATATGGATAGATTGCATTTTCTTCCTCCAAGCTAACAAACGTGTAGGTGGGAAAGGGGAATTTTACTGGGCACCTTAGCACCTGTTACATCTTCAGTTAACAGAGGTGCTGATGAGCCAGACAGCACATGGGAGACATGGCCTTTCTTTCAGGGATTGTATGTAGGTAAAACCTGAGTGGCTGAGACAAGAACTGTTCTAATCCGTAATAAGGGCTATTCACCTCATTTAAAGAAACAAAAATAGTCTAGTGGACAGCGGATTATGCTCGGATTCACCAGAAGAAACTGATCTGGGGGCCCTGGGCAAATACGAGTTGTGTGTGTAGGTTGTTGGGGTCGGTCTACAAATAACGGGAAAACAAGAGGAAGAGACATTGGTTTAAGAACCAACTCAGCGATAAGGTAAAGGTCAGCTCAGGCTCCCAGGCGTATTCTGAACCTGGGAACGAGGGTGGTAGAGGAGGAGAAAACACAGAGCCCTGGGACCTGCGTTCACCGCTTCGGCCTCCACGGAAGGCACTTGAGGCAACCGTGAGGCCACCTATCTCCCACTTCCACCCCTGCAAGGAAATAGCCCCCGGATACTCACATGGGCTCGAGAGTCTTGCTGAGCCAGGACTTGAGGGCCTCGAAGTTTTCAATGATCATTTTAGAAACCATCCACAGCGGCCCAGAGGCCCGTCACACTAGTCCGCCCGCCCAGGTCGCGGTCGCTACAGCCGCCGCTGCCCCCGCCCCCTCCTCCGCGCGCCGCCCGCGTGGGCCGCGGTGGGAGGCGCCGGTGGCAGGCTCCCGCGAGCCCCGATGGGCCAACAGCTCCGGGGGGACGGCCGCAGGCCGCGAGTCCACGGGGTGCCAGGAACTTCCCCTCCCCGGACCCCGGCCCCGGCTGAGGCAGCGACTGTTTGCCCGGGCCCTCCCCCTTCTCTCCACCCCAGCGAATCTTCCTGGACCAGAGCGCGACACGCTCCTAGACCCGTGCTTTCTCTCAGCTTTGAGACCAGGTGCTGGCTGGCAACGCAGAAGAGGCAAAAGTGAAGAAAGCGAAGACGAAGGGCAGCTGAATGGGAACGTTTCGGGGGGTCTTCCCGGCTCCCAGCACCCCCAAGAAGATGGCTGCCGATAAATCTCGCGAGAATTGTTGAAGTGTCGCGGTGACTCCCGGGGCCTGCTGGGAAGAGACGTAAGATCAGCGGAGAGCGCGCTAGGCAAGTTCGGCGAGTTTTGCGTCTTTGCGTGGTTTGTGGGCCCTTTGCTTTTTCACGCCTTGATTCTCTTAAGAAATAAAAGCTTTATTTTTTTTTGCAAGGAGGGAAAGGCCGCTGATTTCAGAATCAGCGGGAACCCCAGCCCGTTCTCTGTAACTGACGGCGTGGCGCATCGGCTGGAACGACCGACGGGAGCGCTTCTCTGAGAGCGTCCACTCGGATGTGGCGGGATGCAGGCGACCTGGGGATTACAGGTGTGCTGCGCTGTGCTGCCTCCTCCGTTTACCTCAGGGTCCTGCAGTACTATATTCTGCATGTGCTGTGGACAAGATTGGGAAGAACGGGCTGGTCTAATATAACGCACTGAGACTGCCAGAGGCTTACTTAAGTCTTGTCCAGAATTACTCGACTTCATGCATGGGCAGAGCACTAATGACCTAGGGATTCCTTCAACCCTTGACAGTTCTGAAATAGTTTCCAAACATCTGAAACTTTCGGACTTTTCCCCAGCCAGAAAGGAGATGAGTGTTTGTGGTTTTGGGGGGTTTTTTTGTGTTTTTTTAGTGTTAGTGTTTTTAATTCCCTCCGTTTAGAGCCGATTCAGCCCCAGATAGGGAAATTACATAATATCAAAAGAGAGCCTTCATATCAGCATCCTAAATAAAGTAACTTCCTTTCTCCTGGGTAGTTAAATAAGTTTGATTCCTGCCTCAGTTGTTCTATTTGCTATTATTTACTTCCATTAAGGTACTAGGTGGAATTTTACAAAAAGTCTAGTGCCTGTTAACTGTAATGAAAATAATTCACAATATAGACATTTAAAGTAGAACAATAAAAAGCTTTTTATGGCAGACACAGTGGTAGACTAAATTGTTAAGAACTCTGAGTTTATAATTTGCTAGAGTGAAGTGTCCTTAAGCACTAAGTGGAAAAGATTTGATAAAGTCAGAAAAGCTTGACATTTGTTTTAAAATATAGCATATAAAGTAGTATGCAAATTAGAAGGCTGCTACTGATTAACCAGGTGTTAATTAACAAGTGATTTAGCTAAGTGAAATAAGCTGGATGCAAAAGGGCAGCTATTCTGTGTTTCCACTTATGTGAGGTACCTAGAGTGGCCAAACCCCTAGAGACAGAAAAATAGAATTTTTATCAACTTGTTATCACTTAGTTGCCAGGGGCAAGAGGGGTAGGGGAGAATGGGGAGCTATTTTTTAATGAGTAAAGAATTTCAGTTTGGGATGATGAGAAAGTTCTAGAGATAAGCGGTGTTGATGGTTGCACAATAATGTGAGTGTTGTGAACTGTACACTTAAAAATGGTTAAAGTGAGGGCTTCCCTGGTGGCTCAGTGGTTGAGAGTCCGCCTGCCGATGCAGGGGACACGGGTTTGTGCCCCAGTCCGGGAAGATCCCACATGCCGCGGAGCGGCTGGGCCCATGAGCCATGGCCGCTGGGCCTGCGCGTCCGGAGGCTCTGCTCCGCAACAGGAGAGGCCGCAACAGTGAGAGGCCCGTGTACCGCAAAAAAAAAAAAAAAAAGGTTAAAATGGTAAATTTTTGTATATTTTGCCACAATAAAAAAATGATTTATAAATTTAATATTGCTAGGGAAAATGTAAAATCCTAATTGTTTAGCCTGCCTGTTTAATAGCCTTGCCGCGGACTGACTCCACCAGTTTTCAACCTCATCACCAACTGTTGGGTAACTCTGGCTCTGCACTCCAGCTAATCATCATTCTTCTGTTAAATGCTATATAATCCACGGAAACAGATTTGCTCACCTTTCCCTCCTCCAAACATTTATTCACATCATTTCCACAGGGAATGCTTCCACTTACTTCTTTCTCTGGCTATTCAAACCTTGCCCATCCTTCTCTCTCAGTACCACTACTACTGTATTTTTGAATCCTTCCTTATTTTTCCTAAACAATAGTAACAGGCTTTTAATTTCTCTGCCTCTTAGCTGCTCCCTTATCAGTTCATCTTCAGTTGCCTTCATCATCATTGCCTTTAATAGCAGTTATTGTAAAATTTGGATCTAATCATGTTAGTTCCCTGCTTAAAATCTTCATCAACTTCCACATTGTCTTCAGGATAAAAAATCTACATTCTTCTTTAACATCTATAAAGGACCTTTTAAAATCAAACTCTTCCTATATGCCTTAGAAACTTCTTTCACTGCCTTTCAGCCTTCGCTTCAGCCACCCTGAACTATTTCATGCTCCTTGAAAGAGGTGTGTTCTCTCACTAAACTGATCCATTGCAAAATGTGTTTCCCTCCCTTACACTTGAATCCTACCCGTCCATTAAATTCAGTGCATACAGCATCACCTTTAGAAAACCATCCTTGACTTCCCTGCTCTAAAGCAGGAGTCCCTCTGAGGTTTTATGACATCAGCCTGTGCTTGCATCTATTGTAACACTCATTGCTTTATTTTTGCAATTATCTGATTATCTGTTCATTAGTAGACTATGGTTTTGAATCTCCTGTTCCATGCACAGCCCCTGATATATACAGTCATTTCTCAATTTTTTGAATGATCAAATGAAGCCCTGCCACTTCCAGGAAATCTTCCCTGAACAATGTAGCTGATAGCAATCTCTTCCACCTCTAAATCCTTAGTTACAGTGCTTGTTATCACTCCACGACTAGTCATCAGTGCTTCCTAGCATGATTCTCTTTCTTAACTATTATCATTTATCCCTCATCACTTCAGTGCTTCATCCTCTTTGGCTTTGTCTTCAGAGGTGATAATTAGCTAATGTGATAAGCAGTGCAACTAAGAAAAGACTAAAACAACCCCCATAGATTACTTTATGTATTCAGTAACAAACATTTCAGAATGTCCATTATTAGGTTACCTCCTTAACATTTTCCAACATACCATGTTCCTTCAAAGCCCTGTGACTTTGTTAGCGCTGTTCCTTTTGCCTGGAATGACTTTCCTTATAGCTCAAATACCAGATGCCCTAGGCAAAGGTTGTTGCCTCTTGGTTCTTACCTGTAGAATAGGAGTTAAAACGTCTTATTTAGTTTTTCATCTGTCTAACTAGATTATGAGCTCTTTAAGGACTAGGACTCAAGTTGATTCCTGTTTGTTCTTTCTGCACGTAGCACAGTGTGTGGAACTCAGAAATGTTTGTTGAAGGGTATAAGAAGGAAGTAGAGGCAGGGGAAATATTTTCGATAGGCAAGTCATAATGATATACCTCCCAGTAGGCCTCCATCTCCTTATAGTTTACTTAGCTGCCCTGATCCTAGGAATATTCTCTAGAGTATACTTAACTCCTCCTTAGGTTCTTCCAGTTCTCTCACCTAGCTGGTGGAGACAGTCTTATTACTCTCAGTGGTGCTTTGGGGGTCTTGATTAAACACTTAGCCTGTATTTCAACATCACAAACATATTCTGTATTTTTTCTTCTATTGTATAGTCAGTACTCTGTCCCGAGAATCACGTTTAGGTCTTTATTCTCTCTGGCATACATGCCTTTATTTGGTGTAAGGTGGGGATCTAGCCTATTTTTTCTCCAAACAGCAAGCCAATTCTTCTCTATAATTCTACTGAACAGTCTCTCCCTTCCCCATTGATTTTCAATGCCACCTTTATCATATATTCATATTTCCATTTATGTATGGCTCTGGTTCTGACCTCTTTTTCAGTTGGTCTCTTTGTCCATGATGACGCCAGTACCATGTTGTTTTTATTAACCATTGTCTTATAGACTGTCTTAATATGTAATAGTGAAAAATCCCTCCCCTTTGCTCTTGTCTTTCAAATTTGACTTAGCTAACTGTGAACCCTTGGTCTACTGAATACTTCCTAGAACAAGATTGTTGAGCTTAGCAAAAAAAAAAAGGATCCTTTATTGAATTTATAGATTAATTTGGGTTGAATTGGCATCCTGTGTCGCAGTCACAGGTACTTTGCTCAGATCTACTTTCGAGAAAGGACTCGCTGCCGAAGGCATGTAGTTAGCTGACAGCCTTCAGTCATTAACTTCTTCTGGGTTCACCTCAGCTTCCAAGCTGAAGTTACACTATTTTCAGGGCTACCCCTCTCTCCCATGCCCATCCTCAACTAAAGATTGAGTAAGGCATAGTGTAAGGACCTAATGTCAACATTAGGATGACAGAGGCTTTTTCAGGCCTGCATGGCAGTCTGATGGCTCCCCCTGCCTAATCCTACTTTCTCCCTTTCTCTTTCACAAATGCTATCCTCCAGTAAACCTTTTGTACTTCTAACTCCACCTCAACATCTACGTCCTAGAGAACCTAACCTATGACACAAGTCATCTGATTCATTCTATTTTTATAAATATTTTTTAAATTATAGTTAATAAAATCTAACCGTCCCTTCTGGCCCAATTACTTCTTTGAAACCATCCTTAGCCACCTTCATTTAATATGATGTCTCTCAGGACATACATTCTAACAAACCTTTGACTTTCTATGGCCATCATTGATTTAGCCCCTATCGTTTTATTTTTTAATGCACATATACTTTATCCCCTGTGGCCTCTTTAGTACCTTGTTTCATCAGTTACTTCCTTTTCTCATGTTTGCAACTCTTGTACTCTGTTGGGTCTTTCCAATTCATCACTCAACGAATGTTTACTGAAGGTCGGCTCTGTTTCAGATATACTACTACTTGCTGAGAATACAGTATGGACAAACAAGGCATGGTATCTGCCCTATGGAGCTTATAGCCTAATTTAGAAAGGGAGACATTTAACGGAAAATCATATAGGAAAATTTTTTTAAATTTTTGTAATTAAATTTTAATACAAATTATATTAGGTATTATGAAAGAAAATAGAGAGAAATATGAACCATGATAACAATTTAGACTGGAAAGACTCAAGCATG